GATCACTAGCAGGTGCCTCCTGGCATCACCGGGAGCGAACCCTCTCCAGTCAGCCGGTGGAACATCACCCTGAGCTGTGGCTCTGTGGACACACTGGGCTCTGGGACAGAAGCTCAGCGTCAGCACAACACACCACAGGCCTGTGGCTACTCAGGCAGGTTAAGCACATGCTTAAGCATTCAATGAAATCGGGGGGTGGGGTGGGGTGTGTGTGTGGGTGTGTGGGGTGTGTGTGTAACCGTTTTTTTTAATCCCCGACAAGGCTTGCCCTGCAGCGATTTTCTCACCACCAAGCAGTGAGCACAAAGGCTATGGAAAGGCTCCCCAGGTAGCTGATCCAAGGGCTTTTCTGGGCGAGCCTGCTCTGCTTGCAGGGAGAAAAGGCATCTCTGCTTCTCCCAGCCCTCGGCGCTCTCGGGGGAGTGGGGCACCCCCCAGCAAAGCCTCTTCTCTCTTATCAGCCCAAGGCACCCATGCTGCAGGCCAAGCTGGGCCCTGCCTCCAGCTTAGCCAGCATATCTGCTGATGCTTGGGGAGGAAGGGAATTGAGCCCACTCTCACTGACAGGTTTTGGCTCTCTGGGACTAATGGGAATAAAGACAGTAAAGGCTTAGACTAGTCATTAGAGTCGGTAGATCTGACTCTAAATATATTCAGGGAGCGGATTTGCTGGAAGAAGACACTGTTTTTTCCATCGCTTTCCATGTCTCATTTGATTTGGTGTTGAATTCTTTTAGATGTTAGCACACTCTCTTATTTTGGGAGGGTAAATCACCAAAGAAGATGCCCTTTGGCCAGATTATGAACAACAACAAGATAGTACAAAGCCCAAATATCCCTTGCAGAATGTGCTATGGCTAGATTTTCAAAGGGGTTTACACGTCTAAATGCTGCAAATCTGCAACCAAAAGTGCTTCAGTAATTTTGTAGGGCTGGTCCTTCCCGGCTACCAGGACAGGCCTGGGGTACAGCAGCTCCTGCAGCAGCAGAATGGTGCTGGCTCTGGGGAGCCTGGGGAGCTTCTTAATCACCCCAGCATCACCCCTCCTGTGAGCAGGCAAAGCAGAAATCTTGAAGTAGAAAACATCAATACTGGTGACTGGTAAACAGGGAGGAGGACTGCAGCTGCAGAGCTCAGAAACAGCATGTAAGCAAAAACCCAGGGCTGTGGTGCAGGGCCTAAACAAGCTCACGGTTTGAGGCTCCTGATTTCCAAGACACTGCCCACAGGTTCTGCACCTACCTGGGCAATATTCAGGGGGCTGCAAAGCAAAATACCACTGGTCTACAAAGAAGTCATGTAAAATGAACACGATACCCCTATATACACATCAGTAATTACACCAGGAGCACCATCTTTAGGGGCAACAATGCATTTAAAGACACATCCAAGCTTTCAGCGCTATCTGGGGAGCTACAGTAAGGTGTCTCAGGGGGCAAAAAGCAGGTCTAGGCTTATAGATAATAGGACTTGTAGTGGCCTAGCACATATTTGGAAATAAAATATCACTATGCAAGATCATTGTAACTTGAAGAACTTGCTTGCAGCGATAGTAACCTTACACCTTACTCAAAACTTCCATCACTATTCATTTGCGAAAAAATACATTAAAAATGGCTTATTTTCAGCTTTTCTCTAGAACCCAAAGTTTTTGAGGACAGGGTGGGTGGCAGGGACAGATGTATCCATCCCCTCCACTAGAGAGGCAAGGGCTGGACAAACTGGAAGGAGTCCACCTCCCTTCAGGACACATACCTTCCCTCCCCATCAGCCCAGCACCTTCGTGCTTCTCCTTCCCAGTACAGGGGCACCATCGGTGGTTATATTTTTGTTATAATTTCCCACTGCCAACATCAAAACCTCCCGTTTCCTTTTCTTCCACCTAAATACTACCTGCCTGCCTTATGCACAGCTAGGTGAGTGCACGCTGCCACACAGTATCCCAGGCATCACCCTGGCTTTGTGTTTCCCAGACAAGACCTCTCCCCACTCCTGCAGAGCGCTTGCTGATGGTGCTGAGTCCCCTCATGTCACCCAAGACTCTTTGCTGATACACATGTCAGGAGATAGCTGCTGCTGCCTGCATAGGCATCTCCTGCTCCCTGCCAGGGCCTTTCCCCTCCAGGCAGCTGCCTCACATACTGCTCTGGAGCTCCTTCCCATCCTGATGCCTCCTGGGGCAGGCAGATGATGCCTGGCACTCCTCATGGTCAAACCACCACTCCAGAGGATACTCCACAGGCAGGGACTCATGCCACCAGGCCAAAACATCGTCTCCCATAGGTCCTAATTGCCAGTGCCTGGCACTGGGCAGACAGCAGCTAGGATGGCGTTAGCTGCCCACGGGTGGGCAACTGAATGATAACCTTGGCATCACCAACTCCATTGGTCTCCCAGCACAAGACGTTTTGCCACACAAGTGAAAAACAACACAAAAGACAACAAAAGGCTTTTTCCAGCCCAACGTATTCCCCACTCTTTACCAAACATGGCAAATACCTACTGAGGCCAAACAAAAGGGACTGTTCCCGCCACTGAAGCATAGCCATCTGTGGAGGGGAGGGCAGCCCAGCAGCACGTGCCAGCACGCAGCAGCTCCAGGACACGGCCTGGGCTCAGGTGCCCTGACACCGTCACCCCAATGCCTGGCAGCACCAGGGCAGGTATGCAATTAACATGCACCGGGAAGCCGCAGCTCAGCTGGGCCACCTGAGCTGCAGGGCTCATGCCAGGGGAGCAAGGCCCACGGCACAGTGTTCGTTCACAAAAAAAAGCTGACTCTCTTGCCGTAGGGGCACGAGGGCCCCCTCCCAGTCTCAGTCCCAGTCCTATCCCCAATCCCAGACTCAGTGGGGCAATCCAGGGCCCTGTCTGACCCACACACACAGCTCACATGGAGCTACTGGGATTTTTGGCTCAGACATTCTTTCTCAGACCCCATTTTGCCATGCAGAGGGAAAGAAGAAGGGCAAGAGGGGCTTGTTGCCCTCATGCACAGAGCCTCACCTTTCCCTGTTCTCCTTCCTCGTCGCCTCAAACACCTCATCATCCTCATCCGCATCCCCATCCCGTAGCCTGTCCTTTGGGAAGCTGGTGTCCAGGGTGGGGGGCTCCTCCGGTGTGCTGTTCCTCCTGCCAGGGGTGCCCCCAAAGCTTGGGTTGCTCTCACTGTCCTTCTGGCTCTCAATCGCTGAATCCACCTCCTCCTTCTCAGCCAGGATATCGTCGATGTTGGTTTCATGATAGCACCTCAGCGGCACAGTGTCCAGGTCTGTCTCAGAGTACTTCACCGTCCTCCTTATAATCCCAGTCTCGCAGGAGCCAGGCTTATGGCTGCCTGGAGGAGACATCTCTATCTCCACCTCCACGTGGCTCAGGCTGTGCTCAGGCCCTGACCCTGGCAGCTTGGCGGGCAGCAGGCAGACGGGCTTCTGCGGGTGCTCAGCCAGGGGAGCAGAGTTGGGGGTAGAGGAGCCTGCAAGGGAGCCCCGAGCACTCAGAGCTGTGGGAAGCTGCACTGGGGAGCACTGGGGAGCTGCTCCTGCAGTATCACACACACACCAAAGGTGGGGTCACACATGTGAAGGGCACTGGGAAACAGAGAGGGGGAGCTGGAAGGGAAAATGGCGGGAGAGGCAGAGGCAGGGTGCATTCAGTGCGGTGCACCCACAGCCAGCCCTGAGCCCCCATCCGAACCCTGAAGCCCTTCTGAAGAGGCAGTCGGGAGCTGACAGGGGTCAGGGCTCTGCGCCACCTCCTTTGCACAATGCTTTGCATGGCTGCAGGGGACTCTGCGTGGAGGTTGGTATGTGCAGGATCTAGGCCCAGGAGGACATAGACTGGTCGATCTCGGGGGGATCTCAGCTGTCTGGTGGGCACCAACAAGTCCCCAAGGGATAGGCAGCCCCAGAGGAAGTCCAGGCAGCAGTTCAGACTTGCAGAGGAGAGGTTGGTCCAGTCAAGGGCATCCCTCCCCCCCGTGACTGCTTACCTGTCTTTGGGGTGTCTGAGGAGCCATAAAAGAATTCCCACTTGGCCCTGGCGATGCGCTGGGCATGGGCTGAGCTCTGCCGGGAGTACGGCCAGGCGCTGCCCTGCAGAGGGGAGAGCAGTGAGTGGGCAGCAGATCCTGGGGCAGAGTCCGCGCCCGGCGCAGGGCACCCTGGCACCTACCTGGGGCTGGGGCTCCGGCTTCAGGGGGCTCCTGGTGAAGGTCGGGAAGTCCTCCGGCAGCCCATTGGCGAGGGAGTGGCGGAGGCAGCCGACGTCAAGGCCGCAGGGCTCCTTCCCGCAGGGATGCATCCCCCCTGGGGTCCTGCTTCCGGCCAGGAGCGGGTCGGACGCGGAGGCCTCCAGCTTCAGTGTGAGTAGGAGCTGCTCCTGGGGCAGTGGCAAGGACTGGGGCTGGGGGGACCCTGCACCTCCACCAAGCTCCAGGCTCCGGCTGAGGCTGCGGGGCCCGTTCTCCCGGCAGGGCTGAGGGGGCGGCAGGCTGCCCAGGGTCCGCACGCTGGCCTTCTCGATGAAGCGGAAGGTGACAACGGAGCTGTGTCCCTCCGGGGCCGCTGCCACCAGCGGGCTGCAGCTGCCCAGGGAGGAGAGTGCCGGGCTGGGCTGGCCCCGCTGTGGGGTGCAAGGGGCTGTTAGGCGCCCTGCGCCCAGGCAACTCCCATTGCCAAAGGGAGCCACCTCTGTTGGCTTGCGGGCC